CGCGCAGTCCTACTTCATACTCCAGACATTGTCCGCTGCGAGGCCGAAGGCTGGAGAGATTGGACTGTGTCCAGCGGCCTGTGGATATCCACCGGCAGCTCCAACAGTAACACCCCCAGCCCCGACGATCACTTTACCTTGCTTGAACACCGCCTGGTAGAGCTCCTCCCACTGGACTCCAGCTCCGACCGTCACTGCCGATACCGGGGACACTGAGCATCTCTTGGCGACAAAGTCGTCGTGGAAGCTCATGTTCTTCATGTGGTGCGTCCAGATGCTGAGAGATCCAGCCGCAGTGCTCTTTCCAAAGAAGTCGTGCCCGGTGTTCTTGATCACTAGCCGGATGTTCTTGGCGGATGCAAACCTTACCGCAGATTGGACGTGAGATAGAGTGGAGACATTCACGGCGTAGACTGGAACGGAGCCCTGCGAGCAGCTCGAGTTGCGAGGGGAGGAGATGAGGCAGCTCTGGTCGCCGCTGGCTTCCCAGTTGCTGGCTTGCATGGCTCCCGGCTGATCCGACCTCCAGAATGGTGAGCTCCATTTCTCTCGCACGATTTGACAAGCTTGCTCATCGAAGTGGCTCTCGTGACAGGGCGCCGCTGGAGGCAAGACTTTGATGAGCCTTCCATCGATGGAGGAGTTGAAGGTGTTCCAGGCGCTGGGATCTGGCCAGCAGGATTGAAATGCGGTGCATAAACAGGATGGATGATCGTTATCGAAGGACGCTCGCGGCCGAGCGTCGGCTAAGATCAAAATCTGTAAAACTAGTGCCAACATAGCGATGGAGGAGCATGAAACACGAGGAGACATGATGATACGTGAGACGATTGAGATGGACAATCTATGTTTATAGATTATTTGGAACTTCGTGGAAGTGCTATGGTTTGACTGTATCTCTTGGAAGAGTCTCGGAGAACACTGGAGTGGAAGGTGGTTTTCTTTTTCAGCATCCTCTCGGCAGTTGCCAGATATATGAGATGATCCTCACGGAACTGTGCTGGATCGATCACTAAATGTGCTGGATCGATCTCTTGGTCAGCCACATGCTGGATAATGTCATTGTAAATTGTAAAAATCTTATAATCTTTGGATGGCGTTTAGTAGCGAGTCAAGCTCATCAGACACGATCGAGTCAAGGTCCTTAGACAAAAATAAATCGCTCATCGCTCATCATCCTTTTTCTCCTGCAAGCGTGAATTTGTTCAAAGGTTTGACAATTCTCAAATGGCTATTGATATGCCACGCGAGATGTTTGATGATGGTAACGTTCACCACCTAATGGAAAGAAATTAGCGTCAAACCAATAAACATGGGATATTAGGTCACAAGAGCCTGCATATTGCAAATTATTTATATGAACCCTAATTTTTCCTTGGACAATTTAGGTCATTGCTCCACTTCTCGCTACCGACGCAGTGATGGCAGCGAAAGAGGCCGGATGGATCGACCTTGCTCTTGATGGCCTGGAGGCGAGGGTAGTGCTCGCCGAAGAAGGATTGCTGCCAGTCCGGCTCGTTGAAATCCGCCTCGTTGATGTAAGTTCCTGATCCAGGCGTCACATCGATGAGCAGCTTGTTCGCGGCGCTCACATTCCTTGCAACCTCGCGCTGCTCCTCCAGGCTCGCCCCATCTCTCCAGCCGCTGCCGATAATCACGAACAAAAGGGCTCGGCGCCATGCCGGATTCACGGCATTCTCATCTCGCGGCCTTGCCACTGCTCCGCCGGCCACGAATGCGCCAAAGATCGTCAACGGAGGCGGGTAGCGCTCCAGGATCGAGACAAGGGCATCTGAGAGCGGCTCCACGGATTTGCGGCTGTGGAAGAGGGATTTTGGGATTAGCCTGGAGGAGAGAAGGAGGGGAGTGGCGGAGCCGTTGGAGTTGACGCAGGAATTCTGGCCTCCACACAGGAATTGCGAGTAATACTCTTGGAACGATGAAAGAGAGACCACGCTTCCATTTCCTTGGAGCTTTGGATGCTTCTCAACGTAGTCAAGGAATGTTGCTAGCGTCCGGTTTGCGAAAGACACGTCCTTGTTGGGAAGAAGATACGAGACCTGCAAGCTCTGGCTGGACAGTCCGAAGTATCCCGACCATCCAGCTTCCGAGAGACTGGGATGGATCACGGCAAAGTTTGTGAGCAAGTCCAGGAAGCTGGATCTATCTCTGGCATTGATGGAGTAGCCAGCGAAGGCGAGATCTTCCAGCTGCGGATGCGTCCGGTGTGTAGCAGAGACCACGACTCCAAAAGTTCCTCCTCCGCCCCCTCGAAGAGCCCAGAAGAGATCCTCGTTTTGGCAGCCGTTAGCAACAACGAGATCTCCAGCAGCAGTCACGACTTCATACTCCAAGACATTGTCCGCTGCGAGGCCGAAGGCTGGAGAGATTGGACTGTGTCCAGCGGCCTGTGGATATCCACCGGCAGCTCCAACAGTAACACCCCCAGCCCCGACGATCACTTTACCTTGCTTGAACACTGCCTGGTAGAGCTCCTCCCACTGGACTCCAGCTCCGACCGTCACTGCCGATACCGGGGACACTGAGCATCTCTTGGCGACAAAGTCGTGGTGGAAGCTTATGTTCTTCAGGTGATGCGTCCAGATGCTGAGAGATCCAGCCGCAGTGCTCTTTCCAAAGAAGTCGTGCCCGGTGTTCTTGATCACTAGCCGGATGTTCTTGGTGGATGCAAACCTTACCGCAGATTGGACGTGAGATGGAGTGGAGACATTCACGGCATAGACTGGAACGGAGCCCTGAGAGCAGCTCGAGTTGCGAGGGGAGGAGATGAGGCAGCTCTGGTCGCCGCTGGCTTCCCAGTTGCTGGCCTGCATGGCTCCCGGCTGATCCGACCTCCAGAAAGGTGAGCTCCATCTCTCTCGTACAATTTGGCAAGCTTGCTCATCGAAGTTGCTCTCGTGACAGGGCGCCGCTGGAGGCAGGACTTTGATGAGCCTTCCATCGAGGGAGGAGTTGAAGGTGTCCCAGGCGCTGGGATCTGGCCAGCAGCTGGATTGAAATGCGGTGCACAAACAATCGTGATCCAAGGACGACCGGGCATCGGCAACGAGCAAAATCAGTGCTAAGATAGCGATGGAGGAGCAAGAAACAGGAGGAGACATTATGATTTGTGAGACAATCGAGTGTGAATGCTGGATGTTTATAGATTACTTGGAACTTCGTGGAAGTGCTATGGTTTGACTATCTCTCTTGGAAAAGTCTCGAGGTAACACGGGATCGTCAGCATCTTCTCGGCTTGCAGCCACACCCTCCTCGTGTCTACAGTCCTAGCTGACTATGGGATGAACCCAAAGGAGATTGATCAGTGTGTGTGTCGCGGACAGCGGGTGTGCTACGCAAGGTATCGATTTTGCGCGACGAGCAGCGGACAATGCCATGAAGTTAGCCACAAAACTCTGGAACTTTCCTAGCAACTTATAAATTAAATTTATAATTCTATTTTATAGAATCTTCAGCAAGAGGAGTTTTGTTTATTTTGTTGTTTATTTGCTCAGTTGTCGTGACTGAGCAAAGTTCAAATTTTGGAAATAGAGGATATGTGACACTCCTCACCTCCAAAACATAACATAATAATCCACCTTCTTGGTTTGGATGAAAGGTCCTAATCATCTTTTGTTACTTCCACTCTATTTAATAGGAGGGGAGGAATTCATCATCCATTTTTTTTTTCTGCAAGTGATTTTCCAATTGAGAATTATCAGAGGAAAATACGGGGATGGTTTGTCACGGCCCTATCAGAGTGGGATAACGTTGGTCACTATGTTCCTTGTTTCCTTCCATATGACAATTAATTTGTAAGAAAATAAAGTAGAGATAAAATGTACATATACTACATGTTGATTGCTTAAGGAACCAATATGTAATTTACAGGCCATGGTATGACGTTGCATGGGTCTTGTCACAACTACATATGCATGCTAAACCCATGCTACCACGAAGATCAATGGGCTAGAAAATCGATGGAATGGAGTTCTTATCATGATGACAAGCTCTTTTGGTTTTTGCTCGCCTGACTGCAAGAATGGATAGCTCTGTTTTGGATGAATGATGAGAACTCTCCATACACTGTGGCTCTCGTGCGTGCTACCAGAGCATTCCTCGCCGTTTGAATCATACGCAATGTCGTCGCTTGGAATGCACTGATGCAACTATGCGTCTCTAACCTCATGCTTTGACTAGCTGTGTTTGTGGAACACGCTCATTGCGGTGTTCACACAGCTAAACATGAGGCAATCGGATGTTGTGATTAGCGCCACTTCGATGATTGTTGCGCTAGTGTGGAGTTTGGGGCCACAATCGTGGAGCTCCACAGGATTTCAAGGCAAGATCTTGTTTCTTGGAATGACATGGCCCAAGTTTACGAGGATATTGGAAACCTAGCATGGAGAATCTTGATCCAATGCTGTGGGTGTGACATTGGCACTGCGGCTGGATCTCTCAACATCTGGCTTCACCAGATGAAGAACATGAGCTTTCACAGTGACTTTATCGCCAAGAACTCATTGTAGGGGATATTAGTTCATTTATATATCAAATGTGACTGTATTTTATTCTTTATGTCATGAATGGTTATATTACATAATTTTTTTTATGTACGTAACCAAGCATATAAAGATGTTATATCAGGCATCAAAAGATTTAATTTTCAAGTACATTTAGATCTCACTATTAAGTGTATTATTATTCAATAATACAATTGCATATTAAAAGAGCATGGATCACAAGAAAACAAACACAATGTTACTTAATTAATATTTATAATTAACCATCTAGTTTTCGGTTGGGTGTTCACTTAAGGTTGCTTGGATAATAAAGACTTAAAAGGAACATCATGAATGTTTCAACCATATAAGTATTGTTCAGATATTGAGAAGTTAGTTTGAAGGTAGTCAATTTAAACAACCTCAATGTGGGGTGTTTTAGTTTCATGGATCTTGATAACGGTGTGATCAATAGAAATATGTGGATTTTGAACAAACAGCAAATAAATTTCTACAAATTCAATGTACTTTTCTTCCATTTTCCAAGTGAAAGAACAATTTGTTCTCTTCATAGATTACCCGAGAAGATCAGAAGGCTATGCAGCACAAAGTTGAGATTGTTGTCGTCAACGATCAATTCCCAGGACCATAAATCGACATTGAGGAGAGCAGTAGTCTGGACATCAAAGTAAACAACTTGTAGTGTTCTACTGATTGATAGATTTCCTGGCATAATGGCCAGCTTACATCACCAGTGCCTGATCCAGTGCCAGATCGCCCGGTGTGGATGTTCTTGGCGGATGCAAACTTCACCACAGTTTGGACGTGAGATGGAGTCGAGGCATTCACAGAGTAGACTGGAACAGAGCCTTGCGAGAAGCTCGAGTTGGGAGGGGAGGAGATGAGGCAGCTCTGGTTGCCGCTTGCTTCCCAGTTGCTGGACTGCGGCTGATCCGACCTCCAGAATGGCGAGCTCCATTTCTCTCGCACGATTTCGCAAGGTTGCTCATCGAAGTCGCTCTCGTGACAGGGCGTCGCTGGAGGCAAGACTTCGATGAGCCTTCCATCGATGGAGGAGTTGAAGGTGTCCCAGGCGCTGGGATCTGGCCAGCAGGATTGAAATGCGGTGCGATGATCATGATCCAAGGACTCGGCCAAGATCAAAATCTCTAGAACTAATGCTAAGATAGCTATGGAGGAGCATGAAACACGAGGAGACATGATGATTTGTGAGACAATTGAGTTGGATGGACAATCGATGTTTATAGATTAATTGGAACTTCGTGAAAGTCTTAGTTTTCTTAGGATCTGTTTAAGCTTTAGTTTTTGGCGGTAGCTACTAAACCCAGGGTTAGGGTTGGGGGCGATTTGGATCCTCCTCCCATGGCGGAGGATCTGGACGAGAAGGCGCGGCGCGTCCGGGAGCTCCTCAGCAGCTTCTACAAGTCCGACGAGTCCGATTCCGGTGACTTCGATCTGGATGCTCCCGGCGATGGAGGTGTCAGCGCCAAGCGCCGGGATACTCTGCTCCAGATCAACACCAAGGGTTTCGAGCCGGAGCGCTACATGGCTTCTCTGGTGCATAGCATTGCATTGCCGCATTTTTTACTTCCGGGGGAGATCGAGAGGTGACATTTCTTTTTGTCTGTCTGCGCAGGTCAGGAAAACGAATTTACCGACCTTGCTCAAGAAGCACGTCGAAATGGCCGCGGAGATCAAGAACTTGGACAGTGACATGCAAATGCTGGTGTACGAGAACTACAACAAGTTCATCAGTGCGACAGACACTATCAAGGTGTACGTGAAATTCGTTTTGCTTCGCTTCCAGGACTTTCTAGCAAATGTATGACAGTAGGAGCTTGCAGGATGAAGGATAATGTCGCGGGCATGGAATCCAACATGCAGCAGCTTCTGGAAAAGGTGAGAGTGCCTTCGAGATCGTTGAGCTCATGCTCATAGATTTCAGAATTGCTAGGTGACAGCAGTGCGAACGAAAAGTGATAACATAAACGCCTCGCTGTTTGAGAGAAGAGGACGGATAGAAGAATTAAATGGTACACGAAGTCTCCTGCGGAAAGTCCAGGTAAAGAAACGATGTCTTATTCTTGTTTCTGTGCCTGATTGGGGAAGTGCTGTATCAGTTTGTTTTTGACCTCCCAAAACGCTTGAGGAAGTGCCTGAAAGAAGGAGATTATGCTCAGGCGGTGAAGTTTTACGTGGGAGCGAGCCCAGTATTAGAGACTTATGGTAGCTCGTCTTTTAGAACGTGTAAACAGGAGAGCGAGGAGGTGATTGCGACGATCTCAAAGCGCCTTCAGGTGCATTTTCTACTGTTTGTTTCTTGAGGTTCTGGTTGTCACACTTTTTTCCAGGCCAAGTTCTTAGCAGATTCTGAACCATTGCCTGGGCGAGCTGAAGCAGTGGCCTTGCTTCAACAACTCAAGTTCCCGGTGGGGTTGTATACCGGATGGATTTTTAGTAACGTACTTTACAATTGTTATCTTTGAACTATTTCATAGGTTGATGTTCTGATGGATGGGTTCTTGACAAGCAACATGAAACACCTTTTAGAACTTCAAACTTTGTCGCACAAAAGCAAGTCTCCCGATGACGCAAAGGTAATTCAATGCATAAGTGAGGCTAACTGAACAAATTTTCACAGAAATTTATTACCGAATTTACTCAAACAGCAACGGCATTTCGATCCATATTTCCAACGGGGGAAAGTCGTCTTAACGAAGCTGCGAAGGATCTTTTGGACAAGTCAGTCTTGCCACTATTTTGTGGCTTCCTAACTTTCATTACTCTCAGGTACTTTGCAAACGTCAATGTATCGTTGCAGCCGGAAGCTGGAAGCCTTTCTGCCGCGGAGTTGATTTCCTTACTAAGTTTGTGTCCTTCAGTCTCGACACTCCTTTCATCACTTTGATTGATCGTTTGCAGAAAGTTTATCTGCTGATGTAGCCAAGATGCACGAAGTGATGCCGGAAGCCGGGTTTATTGACGGTGCCATACAGGTTAGAGTCTGTTATTTCCTTCAAGGACTGGAGTGCTCACTGGTTTACTTACAGGCTGTCGAGTCGGCTGTTAAACAACACGTCAACCACAAGTTCAAGGTGCTATACGCCCAAGTAACAGGTCCGATCTTTGTCTAGTCCCTTCAAAGTTGGTTATAAAGCTACTTAACAGGTGCTCTTTCGGATATTCACTCTCCCAAGCAAGAGCAGGCCAAGGACCAGCAAAAGCCGTTGCTTCTATCCCTTGAAAACGTGCAAAATTTAATTGTTAATGGGGGACTCGAAGTTCTGAAGGTATTAACTTGGAGTTCGTTTTATTCCAAGGCACATTACCTTCTCGTAACAGGACCTCACTCAACTATTAGATGACAGTGTGGATTTTCTGGTCAGCTGGAGGGACGCTTATATTGACCTCGTTCAAGGCGGTTTTCAAGAGTTTTTTGGATCTCTTGTGGACCACTTCATCTCGTTGTC